CCATCTGGAGTTATTTCCTGAGCCTAATACAGCTTTGCTCCCACCCATGAATTGCTTTTTGTGCATGGCTTGAAGTAATGGTCAATTTTTATTGTATTCCAATGTGAATATCAAATTGACCCAGCACCATTTATTAAAAATATCATTTTTCTACTGCAGTGTCACCTTTGTCATTAATCAAGTGACCATATTCATTGGGGTCTATTTTGGGAGTTTTATTCTATTCCATTGTTATTTTTTCTTTTTATTACATCGCTGTCTTACTTGATAATTGTAGCTTAGTGATAACTGTTGATATCTGGTAGTGCAGACTCTCAGTTCTGTTCTTCAAAATTGCCTTGAGTATTCTTAGCTCATTATATTTTTATGTACATTTTAGAATTATTTAATCTATTTCCAAAAAAAAAAAAAAAAAGAAACCTGAAGGGATTTTGATTGACATTGCATTGAATCTATAAGTTAATTTTGGAAGAATTCAGTTTCATAATGAGTCTTCCAATCCTTGGACGTGGTATATCCCTCTATTTACTAGGTCTTTAAATTTTCTCAACTATGTTTTATAGTTTTCTTTAAAGGATCTTCGAACATCTTTTATTAAATTATTTCTAAGTATTTGTTATTCTTTAATACTAAAGCAATTAATCTATAATTTTAAAATTTTGTTATTTTACAACTGTTTGTTGTTAGCATATAAAAATACAATTAAGTTTTGTATTCATAGACCTCGCTAAAGTTTCTTTTTAATTATAAATAGTTTATCTATGGATATTTTTACATTTTTTAATGTACAGAGTGGTGTTTACTGTGAGTAATTTTAGTTTTATTTCTTCCTTGTCAAATCTTATACCTTTATTTCTTTTTCTTGCTCTATTGCACTGGTTAGTACCTCATTAAAATGTTGACTAGAAATGGCGATAGTAGACATCCTTGTCTCATTACTGATTTCAGGGCAAAACTAGTGTAATGTTTGCTTCAGATTTATTGTAGTTGTCTTTTGTCAGATTAAGGAAGTTTTCTTTGACTCCTAATTCACTAAGAGTTTTTATTCATAATGGTTATTGCAGTTTATGAAATTCTCTTTCTACATCTTTTGAGATCATGTGATGTTTCTCCCTTAATTCATAAATGTGGTGAATCATGTTGACTGGTTTTTAATGTTAATGCCAGTTTGTATTCTTGGAGTGAACCCAATTTTGTGGTGATACATTATGCTTTTATATATTACTGAATTCAATTTGCTTTTATTCCTCAACATTTCTCTCTCATCCTCTAACTCTCATTTATGCTCAGGCCTGAAATTTTCTTTGTGGGAAGAGTTTTATTCATGGATTTAGTTTCTGTAATAGACATTACACAATTCAGATATTCTATTTCTTCTTGTATCAATTTTGGTAAGTTGTGTTTTCCTGGAATGTGTCTAGTTCATCCAAATTTTTAACTGTATTGACACAAATTATTCATAATGACTTTTTAAATCTTCATGGGATCTGGAATGATGTCTCCTTTTCTCATTCCTGCTCCTGGTAATTTTTGCCGGTTTCATTTTTTCTTATCAGACTCTCTGGGGGATTTGAAATGTGTTTTCCTTGGGTTTAAATTGTTTTTCAAATTTCTTGATATATATGATTAATTTACAGGCTTAATTTTTCTAATAAATACTATTCACGATTACATATATTCCCACAAAAAAGTTTCATCTCTATCATATATGCTTCATTATGTAATATTTTCATTTAATCTAAAATATTTTATAATTTCCATTTTGATTTCTTCTTTGACCCATGGGTTACTTAGAATATTATGGCTTAATTTCTAAATATTTGGAGCTTTTCTTTTTGATGTTTGCTTATAGCTTAATTCCACTATGTTCAGAAAATATATTCTGCATAATTTCAGTAATTTGAAATTATTTTACAATTGCTTCATGTTCCATGATGTGGTCAATTTTAGTAATGGTTCCATTTATGTATTCTGATCTTTTGATTTTCTGCATTTTTTTTTTTTACATTTGATTAGGTCAAATTTGCTCATTATATTCTTCAAACATTCTTTGTCTCTATCTTTCTTGTCAGCTTATTATATTAGTTACTGAGAGATGAGTTAACGTCTTCCTCTATGGTTGTAGATTTGTTTGTTTCTCCTTTTACTTCTGTTGTTTTGTATATTATATATTTTGAAGCTATGTTATTGGATGTTTCACATGTAGAATTTATACTTTCCTCGTGTATTTATCCTTTCATCATTATGAAATATCTTTATGTCTAGTAACAATTCTTGCCCTAAAGTCTGCTTCATGTGACATTTGTATAGCTTTACCAGATTTCTTTTGGTTAGTGTTTGTCCAGTTTATCTTTTTTCCATGCTTTTACTGTCAACTTTCTGTGTCTTTATTTCAAGGAGTGTCTCTCGTAAGTGGTATTTACTTAGGTTTTGTTTTTTGATCCAGTGTTACTCTGTTTATCTTTTGTTTGGAGCATTGAGTCCATTTATGTTTAAGGTAATTAGGGATGTTTTTAGTTTAAATCCATCTTAATGTTTATTTTCTGTTTGTAATATCTATTTTTTCCTTTTTTTCTCTCACAACGTATTATCAACTATTTTAAATTATTCTATTTCCCTTCTATTAACTGAAAGTTGCATATTCTTTTATTATGCTTTTAGTGATTACTCTAGAGATTACGACATGCAGATTTGCTTTGTTAGAGACTAATGTATATTAGCGCTTTTTTCCAAATTTGTAATTAAAGAAACTTAGAATATTTTATTTCATTTACCCTATCCATCTTTTAAAAATTTTTTAATGTATTTTAATTCTGCATTTTTTTCAAATATCATAATTTATTATTATTTTCCAACAGCAAATATTCATTTAGACAAGCTAATATATTTACCATTTCCATAGTTTTTCGTTCATTCCCGGGTTTCATGCTTCAGTATGGAATCATTTTCATTCTACCTAAAAAGCTCCTTTAGTGCAGTTCTGCTTTTGATGCATCCTTTCAGTGTTATCCATCTGAAAATGTTTTAATTTGTCTTTATTTTTATTTTATTTTTTTTTATTTTGTGAGGAGGACCAGCCCTGAGCTAACATCCAATGCCAATCTTCTCCTTTTTTGCTGAGGAAGACCGGCCCTGGGCTAACATCTGTGCCCATCTTCCTCTACTTTATATGGGACGCCGCCACAGCATGGCCTGATAAGCGGTGCGTCAGTGCACGCCCGGGATCCGAACCGGCGAACCCCAGGCCGCCACAACGGAGCGCGCGCACTTAACTGCTTGAGCCACTGCGCCGGCCCCTGTCTTTATTTTTGAATGATAGTTTCACTGGTAGAGAATTTGAGTTTGGTGGTTATTTTCTTTCAGGACTTATAGGTGTTGTTTCATTGTTTTCTGGCCTCTACATTCTTATTGTTTCTCCTTTAAAGATAATGTGACTTTTTCTCTGTCTTTTTGAATATTTTTTCTTTGTCTTCTGTTTTTGCAGTTTTACTATGATTGGCTTATATATAGTTTTCTTTGTATTTTTCTTGTTTCAGGTTTGTAGAGTTTCTCAAATCTGTGGCTTGATGCCTTTCATCCATTTGGGAAAGTTCTCATTAACTTTTAATATATTGCTTCTGATCCATTCTTTCTCTCCTCCTCAATTCCACATATTCTAGATGTCTGCTGCATATTACATATGTATCTAACTCTCTATCGTTTTTATATTTCCATACTTTTATCTCATCATATTTTAGCAAGGATATTTCTTCAAGTTCACTCATCCTCTGTTCAGTTATGTCCACTCTGCTGTTAAACTTACCTATGGAGTTTGTAATTTCAATTAATTCATTTTACAGATTTAGAATTTTCATTTGCAGATTTGAATTTTCAGATTTAGTTATTTTTCATATATTCCACATGTCTTACAAAATTCTCCATATTGCATTTTTTGGTCCATATTACTTGCATCATTTTAGGGTCCATGTCTGGTAACTCTAATATCTCTGCATGTGGGTATGTTTCTATTGTCTATTTTTCTATTGGTCTTTTTTATGGGCACATCTAGTAATTTCTGCTTGACTGCTGAACATTTTGTATGAAAATTCTTGATTCGAGGCTTCAGATGATGTGATCCTTTTCCAGAGAGGTCTTTCTTTGTCTTCTGGCATGTATTTGAAGTAGGGGAAGATCACCTAAGGTACTCAGAGGTTGAGTTCATTGGAAGTTGGGTTCAGCTTTGTAAGGCCTGGTCTGTTTCTAGCTTTCCTTTATCCCTGTGGTGCAGCCCTTCAGAGATCCCACCTCAAAGCCCAACTGCTGTTGGCTTCTGCAAACTGAGACTGCTGGACACTTTATTTATCTTCTCAGCCTCTCAGCCCCACATTGCTTATGAATTGGAAGGTACTTAAAGGGGAACTTCAATGCAGAAGGCTGGGCTTATTTCTCTTGACTGTAGCATTTTGGCCTCTTGGTTCCTTATGTTCTGGATGCCTTGGTGGGCCTGACTTCCGGTTTTTGTCTCCCTGGCCACCTCAGACTTCCAAAAGCTCTGTTAAGCTTCTCTACTTCTTAGCCACCACTTTCTGCTCAGCTTCTCAGCCTCTTGTGCTATTTGCAAACTTGCAAATATCTCAAGGGAAAATAAAAATGCACAGATATTGGGCATTAGGCACATCTCAGTGAGTTTTCTTTCTCTCCAAGATCTTGGCTCGTTAAGTCTTGGCTCTCTTGGTAGCTCTCTGCTGTCTTAAAGCAGATTGTTCAAATCTAGCTTTTCTAGTTGTTCTTGGGGGGAAAGTTTATCTGCTACTAGCTAGCTCATCATAGCTGGAAGTGGAAGTATGTGACTGTGTGTGTGATCGTATCAGCTTAGGTGAAGTCTTCATTCATGAGGTTGTGATTGATTTGGGCAAAAATCCTGTAAGTGTTATTTCCCCTGGTAATTGGCCAGAGTAGAGAAGTGCTTATCTAAAATCACAACTATCATTAAGCTGTGACTTGTTTTCTTTCTTCTCCAGGATTTTGTGTCATGTATTGAGAACTACAGAAGAAAAGGACAGGAGCTATATGCATCTTTATACAAAGATCATGTACAGGTAAGAAACAAAACAGTTTCCTTCTCTACATAGCAGACTGGAATCCATCTGGAACCTAAAATACAGAGTCAGAAGGGCCTTTGGTTTAAGTTCTAGATTGCCTAAGTCAATAATTGGTGATCAACAATTGAGTCCTACTTGCACGGCCTGTGCACTGGACTTACACTTCCAGCAGCTGAGGTGACCAGCAGTGTGTCCATCTGCTCATCTACTCATTCATCCACTAGTAAATAGGTATCGAGAGCCCAGAGTGCCCCAGACCCTTTGTTAGGAGCTAGGGGCACAATTGTAAACACAGTAGACATGGGCCTCACTCTCAGATAGATTCACTATGAAGGAGAGATATACATTAAATAACTGCACAAAAAATAGATCATTATACCTTGTGCTGAGCAATAGACATGGAAAATACAGGTACAATGAGAGATTATAATGGGGAGAGAATTTAATTTGGGCAGATCAGAGGCCCTCTCTAAGGAAGTGACCTTTAAGTTGAGATGTGAAGAAGGAGGAATGGGCTAAAGTATTTTGAGGAAGTGTTTTTGGCTAAAGGGAGGGCATATGTGAAGCTCCTGAGTCAGGAAAGAGCTGGATGTCATCAATTAACTGGAAGGAGAGGAAGTAACTGGGTGACCTCAGCTGGGAAGGGACAAGGGTGAAGATGAGGCAGGGCTGGAGAAGACAGGGCTTGCTGCCACAGTAGGGCTTTTGCATTTTATCCTGAAGGCAATGGGTTGTAACTAATGAGGGCAGGTTTGGATATTTAAAACACTTCTCTAGGCCTGATTTCTTTATGATCTAAGTAAACAGCACTGGCTGTCATGCCAGTGAGATCTCTATGTGAATCTCAGGTCTGCCCCTTCCCACGCCTGTGATCTGAGCCTCAGGGTCCCTGTCTTTAAGATGGGATAATAATTTCTAACTGTGAAGATTAAGAGCAAGTATAAAGCACCTAGACATTGGCTGGCAGAGAACAGATGTCCCACCTGTGATTATGGAATGGCTACAAAGTTAATTTTTAGTTGGTGTTATTGTTGTTAACAAAAGTTTTTGAAAATGGTTGCTAATAATAGAATACAACATATAGTATTAAAAACCTTACTAATTATATTATTTACATTACAACTTCTCTGTTCCAAAGCCTGTGCTAGGTATAGGAAAGGCAGAGATTATAATGGCACTGCTCTGCCTTGAAGGTTCTTAAAATTCAGCAGAGGGACCACGAGTAAAGAAATAACCCCAGCAGGTTGATGAGGCCAAAGCTAGGATGCTCTACTAGGAGGAGAGGAGCAGTGGGGTATAAGGAACCATTAGGTGTGCCTGGGGTGGGGCAGGGGTCAAGGAATGCTGAAACAGCTGTGCCCAAGTGTGGAGGAAACAAAATAGGCTCTGATCAACTTAAGTCAAGTAAGCTGGTCTGATTCCCTCCGTATCAGCTCATTTGGGAGCCCGCAACATGCCCCTGGGAATAGGGATTCGTGAGATGTGCAGCCTGCACTCCAGAAACACGCAGTCTGGCAACACAGCCTCCCAGCTATCCCATGAGTAAGGAGAAAGCAGTTGATCAGACATGGCAGGGGTGCGACAGGAGGTTTGGGGGCATACAGGACATGCCGCTGTCAAAGCAACCAGCAGGCACGTCTGGTTTCCCAACTGCACCAGCTGGTCTTTCACAGACTCTCAGTTTGGAGAAGGGCTTCACCGTGGGCACCTACCCCACCCCAGCTTTGCTGACTGCACTGCACAGCTGGGTAGGTGCCTTGCTGGCTTATTCGGATGCTATCTGTGCCCCTTGGACAGGCCCCGGCACATCTGTGCCCCACCACTTGTATTCACTGACTTCTTTCAGGACTAGCAATATGGCTACTAAATTCAACTGCCGCTGGGGGAAAATAAGATGCACTGTTTAGGATTGTGTCCTTTATTTATGGACATCCTCATCACACTTGCTCCATTTTAAGACAGAGGATGTTTATCTAAACTTCCAAATCCGCACCTGGCCAACAGTGTGACCATTTCTCTTCTTATGCTTGGAAGAGCCTGGAAGATTTGGTTATGGCCGGGAGAGATGTGCTCTGCGGTACTTCATGAGTTTCTGCTGATTGTGAGATTGAAAGTTCACGCGGGAAGGACGGAGCCTGGGCAGAGGCTCTGAGCTGGAAGGAAAGGATCCAGCCTTCTAGAACATTGGCCTGGCTTATTTTCAGCAGCAGGCCTGACTGGGTTGCAGAGAGTACTTGAGAAAGTTGTATAGAGTTTTACTGTAGATTTAAGTATTTTTGAGAAAATCAGCATTTTGAGGCTAATCCATAAGGATACTTTCCAAGTATTTAAATATTTAAGAAAGATTGTTTTGATGTTTAAAGGAATGCAGACGTAATCACCGTCTGTGGAGATAATGGGGTCTGGAGCATTCACCCTGCTTTTTTTTTAATGGGGAGTACACTTTCCCAGTGCAGGCCCCACTCCTCTTGCAGAAAAGGCAAGTCCAAATTCTGGACAGAAATCAGACTTGTGAGATCTGCCAGGTTCTTCACGGACAGCTTCTCCCAGGTGCACTTAGGGAGCTCCTCCGAAGAGGGTGGTGATAACCAGGTTCAGGGGCCCCAGCCCACAGGGCTCTCAATAACCAGCTGTGTAAGACTTCCCTAACTCGGCATTTTACCCACAACTGAGAGCCGACAGCATGACAAGATAACATTACTCGGTGCCCTGGAAATTAACCTAAGCATCATTATGTCCCATCATTCTATCACCAGCAAATTGGACAGTTCTGATATTCAATCTCCCAAGTTCCTTGTCACTCCAGAAGTACTGGCGAAAAGTCGCCTCTGCTCTGGCCCTGCCCAGGTTCCCCCTTTACCTTTTCCAAGTTCTATTCTTTCTTTTCTCTGTGGTCCAGCTGCTCTGGTTCTGCTGTTAGATACCCAGACCATCCTGTTCTCATATCGAGTCTTCATCATAATTTACAGAAATGCCTCATTCTGCCTGTTATTTTTTAAAAAATTAGTCTTTACTGGTTAAAGCTCTTTGCAAGATGCTGCCACCCCAGAAATGGCCCTTTTTTAGTATGTGAGTGGCATTGTTCTGTCGCACTCTCTTCTGGGCTCTCTAGGGGCCAACAGGCTGTTTCCGTTTCTTGCTCAGTCTCTACATATCTATTAAGTTTTTGTCACAGCTCTTTCAGATGCACGTATCAGAAACTTAACTCAAACTGGCTTAGGCAACAAATGAAATGTTTTATGTTATTGAAAAATCCAGGGGAAGAGCAGGCTTCAAGAAGAGCTGGATCCAGGTATTCAAACTCTGCTCTAAGGAATCTGCCTCCTCTCTCTCCCTCTCTCTTCTCTCTCTTTCACATACACACATACCACACACACATTCACATAAACATGCACACACAAATGTGTAAGATTACTAATACATTTGAGGCCCAGGGCACATGGGTGAGAGAGCATGTGAGTGCTCTCTGCTCTGTCCCCAAGCTGTACATCCTGGAACCAGGCAGGCAGCGTGTAAAGGGTGGGGAACCATTTTCTGACTTGCACGGAGGTATCCTCTCGTTGCTGATCTGCGTGCCTGTGGGCTGTGTCTGCTCCAGGGCGCTTGTCCTGATGCACATAAAGGTGCCCTGGGGCTGCGGTGGGTGGCCTGAGTGTGTACACATCTGCCATTCTGCACTGTCGCCTCTGTACGGGCTCCAGAGAGCGCCATTCCCAATCCCGGGCAATGATGCTCACTAGCCCATCCTATAACCACCCACCGCCACTCAGATTAGCCAGACTTGGGTGACGTTCGACCCTGAAGACAGGGCTGGGGCGGGCCCCACTGAAGTACCAAGGACTGAAAGTAGGGAAGGGCTGGTTGCCCAGAGGAAAATCTCAGTGAGGCTACCCAAGAGTTTCCATTCAGCCAAAAATCATAGCTTCCTCTAACACACCAGAATCCCTGGCTCTGAACCTGTGGTCTGGCATTTGGCTCACTCCCTTACCTTGTGCAGAAACACAGCTGTTACAGAGCAGCTTGTGGGTGCGGGAAGACAGGGCTTTTGATATTTAGTCATCTCACGTCCTCTGTCCTGGGACCACATGGAGCTTTCTATCACGGGCTAAACCATCATTCATCTCTGAAGAATCTCACCACTGACACACGTCTGTCTGGTGTAGATATTTAAGACGGCGCATTTGCCCTGTGGTGCAGACAGGCAGCCATGAACCTCCAGGCTGCATAGGTGGAGCCTCCAGGGGGAGGGGATGCTCTTAAAAGACTAATTTGAAACTCAAGGTGGACAACCCAACAGCTTGGGGTTGTTCATCCTCTATAAAGCTCAATATGTTACTAGAAACACAGAGACAATCTCCAGGGAGCTAAAATGTTTTCTCCAAACAAGTAGTCATTTCATATAGCCGAGTCCCTATAGAAGGCTTTGGACAGTTCTTTTCCTGGAGTTCCTTATTAACCAATCAAGTACTGTGTAAAGTGCTGCAGCTGTTTTGGATAGGAATTTAAGAACTGTGGAGAAACAAGATAATCTTGTTTTGAAATGGGGTTTGCTTTATTCACAATATTACTACTAATTGCTTAAGCTGGGTAAGGCGCCATATAAAACTCTTGAAAATATTGTCTCATCTAATCCTTACATAAACCCGTAGTTTTATTATTATGGTAACATTATTAGCCAAATGTGACTGATCAGAAAGCTGAAGCTCCTTCAGAGGAAGCTGCTAGGGAACAGCAGAAGCGTGATGATAACCCAGCTTCCTCTGACGCTGAAGACCGTGTGCTGAGCACTACACCATCCGCCACCTTTCGTGGGAATTGTTGAATTCTAAGAACGATATACCCATTCAAAATGGCCCAGATCTGCAGCACCTAGTTCTCAGCCTGCCAGTCTTTGAAGTAATACCTGCGGAAATCATGAGTTAATAAAATGATGCCAGGCCCCTAGGAAAGGAATCTAGCAGGCAGGCTTACGCAAAGGCTTTGGCATCAGACAGACTGGGTTTCAATCTCAGCTCGGTCACCTGGTGGTCCTTGGTGAAGCCACTTCTCCCCTCCCAAACTCAGTTTCTTCATGAAGATAATAGAAATTACTTACTCACGGTGCCACTGGGTAGAGGAAATGAGATACAGCAGATGAGGGGCTCATGAGAATGAGTTTCTTTTCTCTGTGTGTTAAGTGTGTGAGACCTATGCTTCTTAACACTTTCATATGTCGGTTTTCTGAAAAATTAAAATTAAAATTTAGAGCAAACAGCATCAAATATTCAAATAATTGCAAAAGTTCACCCTGCAAACAAAGTTGATTCTACTGTCCAAGCTGAATTGAAATGTTTCCTTGACAGGCGATGTAGGAAACTTCAACGTGGCGTACAAACGACATTTAGAGGCGTCGATGTATTTTACAAAAGGTGTGCATTATACTCTAGCAGAAGGTGTAACAGTCAGGACCATATATGCAAACTCTGAGGATTTCATAGCGATTAGGGGGAATTATTTTCATTAATATCAAAGGTTTTAGCTTCTGTGAACATTCTAGAATCCTTGAACATTCTAGAATCATATGATATTAGGATTTGAAAGGCCTTGAGACATCATCTAGGCCAAACCTCTCATTTAACAGTTGGGGAATCTGAGATCCAGAGACAGGAGTGACTTAGATCAACCAGTTGCCGGCAGGCCTGCTAATTCCCACCACAGCTCCAGTCCAGACATTGAAAGAAGCATTTTCAGCATCATTTTTGAAGGGTGGGGGCTGTGGTAAAATTCCCTGTCCATTTTAAAGGGTAGGGGCTGTGGTGAGAGTCTGTGTCCATTTTATAAAATAGCTCCACTCCACTGTGATGAGTAGTGTTAGGACTTCCGGGACCTGTTGATCTGCGCAGCACCCAGCAGTCATGTGGCTCTGAAGGCCAAGGGTTGGGGGTTTTCTCCTCCCCCACACTGGATTAAATGATCTCAAAGCTGAGAAGCCGATTTCTTCTCCTGGCTTGGTCCTGGCTCCAGAGAATACGCTACACACCCCAAGGGTGCTCGGAGCTGCCTGTAGGGGGTTACTTTTCTCAAACAGTTGTGGGGGGCTTGGTCTGTTCACCCCGAGAGGTCTGGGGCCAGGCCCATGGGGAAATGTGTCCCGGAGTGACGCTGCACTTCTGCTTCCCAGAGGCGGAAATGTGGCGACATCAAGGCAGCCAGCGCCTGGGCCAGGATCCAGGAGCAGCTTTTTGGGGAGCTGGGCTTGTGGGGCCAGACAGCAGAAGCCACGCCCTGCTTCCAGTGGGAACTGGACTGGAGAGAAGGACCCGCTCGCATGAGGAAACGCATCAGACGCTTGTCTCCGCTGAAGGCACTGAGTGCAGAAGAGCTCAAGGTAAGGGTTAGATGCAGCAAGACAATGATGCTGCCAGGCAGAAAATGCGTAGGGCAGCGTCTCCCTAGCTTTTCCACCCCGTGTTCTTTTCATCAGGACTCTGCTTGGTGTGCTTCGGGAGAGCTGTGGCACGGGCAGGGAGGAGAGAGGATGGACGCAGTTACATGTAGGAGGATTGTAATTTACTCTTGATGCCGATTAACAGAAGAAAAGAATCACTAGGTGCATAGAAGGGGTGCTGTAACCACAGCCTGGATGAATGAATAAATGAGTGAAGGAATGACTAGGTGCATGGTTCACGTCTACACCACCAACCCAGTACTGCACTGACATCCACAAAAGTCCAGTGGAATAATCTGGACACCAGTGTTTGGAAAGAGCCACGTCATGGCCATTCTTTGCTGGCATGAGTTATTCGTTGTGGAGCGGTGACAACCAGCACTGCCATGGGCATTATTGCATAAGCAAATCCTGTAACAAGCTTTACAATGAAGATATCCTGAACTCAGCTATTTCTGCAAGCTCGAGCCGGTGACCCACTTAGTTCAAACAACACTGGAGCTGTGTTGGATTCCCAGGCAATGGAATCTAGGCGGTCCCTGGGAGTTTGTTCTAATGAAGCTTGAACTCTGTGTTGTCAAACTCACATTTTTGCCTTTTTAAGGATGGGGGACCAGTTGGATTCATTTGGTAGGAGATATAGAAAAATCTGCTAATAGTTTATGTCCCCACTGAACAATCTTGATTCAAGATATTCTAATAGTCAGCCTTCCAAGCACTGGAACACTAGACATTTGCTTCTGCATTCATCCCGAGTTACAACATTGGGTTTATTCTCTAGTCTGTAACCTCAGAAACTTTACCCATGTTAAATCCTTTATAAAACCTAATGAAAAAATTGTATTGCATTTATTCTGTAGACAATTGAATTTTTAATGTATTGTCAATAAACATCTGGTGGTATATAGTGTTTTTCCCTCAATACATTTCTTAGGAAATGGAGGCAGAAAAAATAGCTTGCCCACTCTGCTGGGGACAAAGCCGAAGATTGGCTATGAAACCTGGTCTCTGGTCTTTCAGGCTGTCCAGCCCCAGATCCTGTCCCTGGTCCCCTTTCCAGGGTGGCCCATACCACAGACATCCAGGATATTATCTAATCCCACGTTGGCATCATCTTTGGTAATTACTGTAAATCTTCCTTAATGGAAGATTGTGGGTTTCTTCCCCTTTGACTCAGGAACATTGATAATTGGTCCTTTAGGGTTTAGCATTTCTCTCCCCTTTCATCTGAGTCCTGAGTGTATGAGTAATTTGAAGGGGTCGCATGCACGTGTGTGTGTGTGTGTGAATCTGTGGAATGGCAGGTGGAACATAGGTTGTGTCCAGAATTTAATTTTTCTTTTCTCTGGTTTTATTTCAGGAGAGCCAAGACAGAAGTGGTGACAGTTCTCAAACAAATGCTGAAAACCAAGGTATTCAATTTATCAGTTTATCTACCTTTTATTTAATAATTATACCAATTCTTGGTTTTATTGGACATCTTCTTAAAGATATCAAATTAATGTGTTTTAGGAAGAAAATTCTGCAGGTATAGAGTAGGCAGAGCTAAGACTCTTTTCATTACTGTGCTCTCTAGAATGCGGAGGAATCTATTCCAGACCCAGACACTCCATTAGGGGGAGAATTCTGTATGAAGTTTGCAAGCAGAAGGATTTTTTCAGGGGAACTATCTTATAAATTTGCTATATCAGGGAAAGCTTAAAAGTGTCCCCAAACAATACAAATACATGTTCAGTAAGTGACCCAAAACACATAGGAGGAAAATAAGAAAATGTTTTAGAGTAAAAATGGATGGAATAGATATTTAATACTTTTTACACTGAACTCTCTATGAAAATTACAAATACAATAGTCATTATTATTTCCCAAATTAAAAAAAATACTTTGAATCATTTTTTTTTATGTTTATGCTTACTCTTTATTTGTGTAATTCTCATGGAGGAATTTGGTTGAGTTGATTTGCTGAAAATCCAAGGTTTATTTTCAGAGGTTATTTTGGCATGAACACATACAAACACACACACAAATACGCACACAGACACACACAGACATACACATTATATTTCAGATTTTATGTGTTTCTACCAGACTCTTCCTTTTGCTTCAAACACTCCCTGTGTGTGAGTTTCATTGCATCCTAGGCTGCAGCTGTGTCATCTCCTTAACCAAGTGACAGCTTCTTAGCTCTGATCAAACTTGGCTCATTTAGTGCCTTAGTACTGGGTGTGGTGTTGAGCCTGCTGTCTTGCTGGTCTGCAGTAACACAAGCCCAGAAATGAGGATCTTGGGCTTTGATACCAGGTTGATTTGGGGTCCCGCTGTGGCACAGGATTTCGGATGATGTTGTAATACCTGTTTGCTTCTCTTGTCTCCACCCCAAGCCCCACAACTCTAAGATCAGAAGGACGGTCTGTCTGCTGTCCCTCTCAGAGAGGGTGGCGGCAGAGAGTGCAGTGGTGCTAAGTGTGTGCTGATTTTATGTGGACTATGGCTGTGAGCCACTGAGTCTCCTCGTCCCCAAAACACAGAGCTCCTGGGGCTCTTAGCACAAAGGAAATGACCGGTAGCCCCTCAACATCACAGTCATGTGCAATGCGCCTGCTCCAGGCGGGTGGCCACCCAGGACAGGGCGGAGGAGCAGGATCCAGAAAACCACCTAGGAATGTGCTTAGCTGGCTCCCAAATGTCCGTGCCCAGGAATACGTCCGTAGAGAATAAGTCTAGCTGTGCGCACAACAGATTGCAGCACAGAACATTCACGGTAGTACACAGATAGAAACTATCTGTAATTTTAAAAAACAGGAGATGGGTTAGGTGATTATGAACTAGCCACATAATAGATTATTACACAGCCATTTAAGCTGTTTGCTAAGAACTTTTGATGGAATGGGAAAGTGCTTATGGTATAATCTTGAGTGAAAAAAATATTGGAAAAGAAAAACTGTAAATGCAGTATAATTCCTATCATGTTAAAAATAACATGTGTGTGCATGCATATACACATATGTACAGAAAAGATATCAGAAATAAATAAACCAAATTGTGAACAGTGAGGACAAACAGCCTAGAGATTAAAGGACCAGAGTCTGGACTCAGAGAAACTTGGTTCAGATTCTGCCTCTAGTTCTTAGTAGCCGTATGACCTTGAGCAAAGTAATCAGCCTCTTTCAGTTTTCCTGTTTGTAAAGTGAGGATGAAATAGAATTTGCAACTTAGGTAGGACCAGATGAAAAGATGTCAACAAAAGTGTCCAGCACAGAGCAAGTGCTTACTAAATGGGAGCTGTTAATATTAGCACCATCTCTCGGTGCAAAAGTAAGGTTTGTTTTATTTCTCACAATTTTTTTATTTCTCACAATTTCATGGGTTTTCCAAGTTCTTAACAATAAGAAGATAGTGCTTCCATAATTTGTTTAAAAACCACTCTTAAAAGAGTAAACAAAGTGGAGTTCAGGAAAAGCAAATCCTGGATGACCCTCCAGGGAATTGCTTTCCTGGGTAATGAGGGTGAATTTTGAAATGTTGTCCTGTGGTCGCTTGAGAGCTGCAGAGCAGCCAGGCCTGGGCACGCCTTCTAGAGTGAATCAGCCTGAAGGTATGTTCACCACACCACAGGGTCAGAGGGGTGGTGTCCACTTTCAGAAACGGTGAGGGACGCGCTGAGATCCACACTGTTCACGTCTGTCCTGAAACCTTGCAGTTCCTCGCAGCGACTCAGGCCCAGGCTGTGCACCATCCTTGGTGGTGTCAGGGGGCTCGTGCCAAAACCTTGTGTCCCTTTATGCCTCTGCAGGTGAACTGACACCAAAGGAAGCTGAGAGCAAGGCCGACGAGGTGGCGGTGGACTGCACCCAGCTGACATTCTTCCCTGCCTTACACGAAAGTCTGCACTCCGAGGATTTCTTGGAGCTGTGTCGGGAAAGACAAGTTATTTTACAAGAGCTTCTTGATCATGAAAAGGTAATACAGCCCACACAACTATTCTTTAAAGATGATCAGACATGAGAAAAGAAGTGACATCTTCCTTTGCTATAGAAAATCAATGATCAAAAAGAGCAGGCGTGCTCCTAAATTTGTGAGCCCACAGCAAGGGTGCTGGTGGAAGCCCGCACACCATGCATCAAAATATTTAAAAGGTATAAATCAGGCTAATACAAGTGAAATATGCTTTAACTTCCTGCATTGACCTCTGCAATAACCTGGGAAGCCAGTTTCAAATTTAGAATTCTTGACCTTCCTGTACGTCAGCACCTTGGCCCCCTGCGGGTAGCCTGACCACCCGAGGGATCATCTCACACCCCGAGGGCCCTGGTGGATGTGTCTGGACACCTGACCCATATGTCTAAGCGGGCCCCACACCCCTGACGTCTCAGACCTGGGGTGAGCACGCTTGTGGCTCTGTCAGCCCTCAAAAGGGTGGACCTGGAGATAAAGTGTGCACAGGCCAGGAGGCAGGCTGGGGCGGTTAGCAGGGAAGTCCACAGTCTGGAACGCCCAGAGCTGGGTTGGGGGATCCAAGGTTCTTGGTGTGTATGTCCCCTTGGTATGACTGGAGGAGGGTCGGAGGCAGCTCCCTAAAGTATGGGCCCAGTGGAGGGCCCCTCTTATCCAAGTCTAAGAAAGGTATGGAAGATGATGCACATGTCTTAGAGTAAAACAGGCCCGAGTTCAAATCCCAACTTGCCTGTGTGCTGAATGGCATGTTAGCTAACCTTTGTGAGCCTCAGTTTTTCTTATCTTTAATATGGGCGGTATAGCAATCATTTCACAAAACTCTTGTAAGGCTTAAATGGGAGCAAAGAGACTAGCTCAGAGCTGGGCACATGTGAGATGCTCGTTAAAGACTAATTCTCTTCTCTTTCCAAAGGTTGAGTGGTTTAAGGGCTGGGTGGACCTCAGAGTCTCACTCATCAACTCTTTCTGTATGAGATGTTGGTGAAGGAGATGCCCCAGAAAACAGAGGAGCAGGCAGGGCATGGCCAGCAAGCCGTGCAGGGACTACACGGGGACGAATGTGTGAGAGCTGACGGCTAGTCCAACTGCAGCTGGATGAGAGTGAATCTGAACTAAGGGCCACTGAGCAAGCAGCCTAGACTTCCAGCAGCAGGTGGCAAGCTCAGAGAGCCTGTGATGGGCATGAGCAAGGTGCAGAAACTGAAGCGTGTCCTTTCCAGGGGCAGATTTCTTGCAGAGACTCCCGGAGGGTGTTAATTTGGGATCTGCTCCTTCCAGGGGTTGGACAGAAGGGCTGATTTGAAGTGTGTTGGCCAAATGGGCTGCTGCAGAACTTCCGCCACGTTGCTTAGCTGCTTTCGGATTTGGGTAACAGTTCAAGAAACACTGTCCTGAAACAACACTGTCCTTCATATTCCTGCTTAACCCAAAGCCTCCAGACACAGAGCCCATTCGCAAGTCCCCATCACAGCGCACCACCATGCCTTCGCTCATGCCGGGTCGTCTCCCTGCACTCCCCTGCCCGCTAGACTCCAGCAGCTGACTCTCTGAGGCCGGTCTTGACTGCTCCCCACTCTGAGAGCTGGAGAACTGGTCTCCCTCCTCACTGTCTCCAGTTCCTCCTAGGTGACCTCCTACCCTTGCTCCTGGCACATTGGCTGACCTTCACCACCTCACCTGTCTGCCTCTCTCGCTGCCTGATGCTCCTTAACAGAGACCCCAGGCACCTAACCTCAGGTGTGCCTGGGGGCCATTCAGTAAACGCTGATGAATGAAAATTTCAAATTCATGTTCATTTTATTTTGATTATGGAAGTAATGTGTGTCTACTGTGTGAAATTAAAAAAATGGATATTAAAACATATATATATAACATATACATATACACATATGTGTATTTATATATGTGTGTGTATTCATAATATCCAGCTGCTGAGGACGTACAGCTGGTAACCATTTGGACATATCATATATTAATATGTTGATATAGGTAAGTGGATATTTAGTAAATGCCTAGTCAATTGAAAAAACAGCTAAGAAATCAATGCTTTCTTACTATAAAATCTTTTCTTTGCCTTACACCCTTAAAGGATTATATAAAGCAGTGATTCTCAGCAGGGGCAACTTTACCCCCAGGGGACATTTGCCAATGTCTGGAGACATTTTTAGTTGTCATGGCTTGGTGGGGAGGGGATGCTACTGGCATCTAGTGAGCAGAGGCCAGGGATGCTTCTAAATACCCCACAATTCTCAGGACAGCAGAAAATAATTATTCAGCCCCAAATGTCTATAGTGGCAGGGTGAGAAACCCTGCTATGAAGGAGGCATACTAGACAGATATCAAGTCCCAGCCGTGCTTCCTACTTTCCTGATGGGGTAAGGAAATATTGGATTACCTGTTGTCTCCATATTGGTTCTTCTCATCGTTTGATAAGAAGAGAGCAATGGCAATGCGTTGGTTTTATTTAGTATGTTAATTTTCTATTACTGCCATAATAAATTACCACAAACCTAGTGACTTAACATACATTTATCTTATTTATTTATTTTTAATATTAATATAACATATTAATATTTATTATTAAATATTATTTATTTAATATAGTATTAAATTAGATATTATTTATTTAATATATTAATTATATTATTAATTTATTATTAAAGTATGATTAAATATAAATATTATTAAATATTATTACTATTTTGAATCTCTTTGCAAGCTCGTTCAGGTGCTGGCAGAATTCAGTCCCCTGTTTCTGTGGGACTGCGGTCCCTGTTTCTTTGCTGGCTGTCAGCCAGGGGTCCTTCCCAGCTTCTGGAGGCTGCCCACATCTCCCACTTTGTGGCCCCCTCCCTGCATCTTCAAAGCCAGCTACAGCAGGTCAAGTCCTTCTCACGCTTCAGATCTCTCTGACCCCCTTCTGCCTCGTCTCCCCTCTTTCTCCCTCTTCCATCGCATCCCTCCCACCATCTCTACTGCCTTCCTCTTCTGTTGCTAAGGGCTCATGAGATTGCATTGGACCCACCAGATCATCCAAGAAAATTTCCATATTTTGAGGTCTGCTGATTTGTAATCTTAATTTCATCTGGGCATTTCCTTCGAGCAGCACTAGATTAGGGTTTGATGGGATGACCAGGGATGAGGCTCTTGGGAGACATCTTTGGACATCTTTGCCTGCCACATTTGGTGTCACTCAGGGTCCATATCCCACCTAATCCCTGTCCTCACCTTCCAAAGAGAGGCTCTGCAGACAGCCTGACTCCCATGTGCTCCCCAAGGTCAGGCAGGTGTTTCCAGCCCGACAGGGCTGGGCTGGAGCCCAGGTCTGCAGTTTATAATCACAGCCCAAAGCTGGTCCCAGCCCTGGCCTATGCAGCAGGCGGATGCCCTTGGTACTTGTCCTGGTCTCTGAGAGTCTTATTTTTGCTGATTGTTTCACCCAACAACATTTCACTCAGGGGTCTTGTTTGGGGAGCAAGAGGCTGAAGCCCACAGATGGCTGACTTTCCCCTCCCCCAAGAGGCAAGACAGGACCAGGAAGAGGCTGTTCTCCCATCCTCCCCTGTCTTGTACTTAAACTTCAGTCTTCCTTGGTCTCCACGTCACACAGCAGGAAGCTGTCAGAAGTGCCACACGAGGCTTGTTGTAGCAGGGATCTCTGGGCTGTGCAGACATGAGCATATGAAGCCCAGCAGGGGCCAGGAACAGGAGCTGTCCTGTTTCCACTTAGCACTTGGGGTCCCCTTGCCTGCTGGGAGGAGCTAGCAGGGGTGGGAGGCCCAAATGAGTGTCGGCTCCCCGGGCTGGGAGATGAGCAGCTGCAAGGGCAAAGTGATTCTTGACATTATCAAGGTATTTGTTCTTTGCACGAGGTGTTGGATTCGTTTCACTGGGTTGCACTTGACTGCCTGGCACAGGGCAAGTGCTCAGACTGGACTCAGAGCCCCATTCTGCTCTTTGTTTACTGCTGTTATGGCCAAAGATGTCAACAGCTGGATGTGGAGCCCTCGCTTTGTGCATGTTTCACCCGAAATCTCATCTGGTCTCACCGAGCCCCTGTGAGGGAGGCTTTCTCATTTCCATTTTAAAGATGGCGAAAGCAGGGCCAGAGGGGCTGCTAACTGGGATTTCAACTCGGGTCTGTCTTACTCCGAGTTCATGTGGGTTTCACTCTCCGCTATCTCCCAACCCGCTGTGTTGGGCAAGTGACATAAACTCTCACCCACCCTACCCTTCAGCAACCTTTCCCTATTGGGGTTGGCTTCCACTTTGCAAAAATTCTGATTGATGCTGGTCCAGGCAGGCAGGCCTCCAAGTCCCTTCCTACACATGGCATCTCTGCCTGGGACACAGCACACCAAGTATGTGCCAACCTGCCTGCCTCACATGCCTTAGCCCTGTCCACTGTGGCCTTAATCCTTGTCCACTATACTTATTGTCAAGGATAGAAACTAGAAGTCAAGGAAGGAAGGAGTATTGCACTGATCCTTGAACCAGGAATGCATTCAAGCAAAGATACAGAAAGTTTGCTCATGGCAGGTGCGTGTGTGTGTTGCGGGGTATTTTCTGCATTTCCCGAGCTGGTACTTGCTGCTTGTATAGACAGTTTGTAGCAAGCATTGATTATAAGCTGGAAATTCCCCTCATTCAGATGTCTCCATAACACCTTTTGAGCCTTGTGCTTTCCCTAAATTTCTAAGTGAAAGCACACACAGAGTGTGCGTGGCAGGTGTGCACCTATGCTCAGAAAACCCGGGAGCGCCTGTCTTCAGGTGGCCATCACATAAGCTGGGCGGACAGCCCCACAAGAAGCGCCTGGCTCCTCCTCCCTGGCCGTCTCAGAAGCACTTGCTTTTATGGCCTTTGCTGGACACAGCCCAGGAGACTCCAGATCATAACCTCCTTCCAGGCTTCTGGGTGGCCCGTCCCCGCCAGAGGCTGGTAGGGGAAGCAGGCAGCCCTGGAGCTCCAGGGCAGCAGCAGTTTAACTCACTTCTTTGTGTGCA